AATATTTTGAATTATATTTATCATTTTTCTAAAATTAGAGTAAACAGATGAAAGTGTAGTACTATTCAATTCAAATATTTTTAATGTAGCTACAATTGGTTGTAAAATACTTGTTAAGTCTAGATCATCCCAAAATTCATCACATAATACATAAACTCTAAGACTTGTATCTATTGTTTCATGAATTTTTACATCCATTAATGTTTGTTCTATTGCGATTTTTGATTTTTGAAGTTATTGAAGACATTCAAGATGAGTACCCCATCGTGTTATTACTAGTAAAACCAAGGCAATTTCTTTGTTATAGTTATCTGATTAAATTCGTTTAAGTTTTCCTAATGCTTGTGGATGTGATTTAAAGTATTTGACCAATTTTGTTGCATTATCTATTACTGTTTTTATATTAAAAATTTTTAAAAGATCCTTAATTAATAAATTTAAAGTATGAGAAGTGCATCCAAAACAAACTATCTTAGGATATCGTTCTTCAATAATATGCCATGCTGCTTTCATTACATTAGCTGTATCTGTTATAACTGCAAAAAATTTTTCAATATTAATTGCTTCTATTTGACAAATTATTTGATTAGCAATCCATTCTGCTGTATGTGATTCTTCTCGGAGTAAATAGCCTCAAAAAAAAAGGCTTTGGGGTACAAACAATAAAATTTTGTACAGATTCTTGATTAATATTAGACCAACCGTCAGAGACCATACATAAACTTCGTGCTTCTAAAATTTGTTTATCAGATTCCTTTTTTACATTCTCATAAACCTTATCTACTAATTCATCTGCAAGCTTTTTCCGATTTGGTAATTTAAATGCAGGGCGAATACGTTGAAAAAATTTAATCACATAAGGATTTTCAAGAAAAGAAAATGATACTCCTGTTGCAAACAAGGCTTGTGCTAATATAAATTCAAGAGATTCTTGTTCTTCTTCATCTATATTATCTAGAAATATTTAATTGGTATAATTTTTAACCATTTTGGAGTATGTGAACTAGTGGAAGTATAAGGTATTGATGTATTTGTTTGAATTTTTTTTTGAGATTTAAAATTTGTTTTAGCATTTTCTGGTACTCCCAAACAATCATTATTAAGATGTGCCTGCATTCAGGTAGCAATTCCATGATCAAATTTTTTTGAACAATATTTGCATTTTACAGGAAGATGTGGTTTATTATTTTCAGGTTGATATTCTATTTGATCTTTGGCTTGGTCTTTATCTTGATCTTCAGCTTGGTCTTTATCTTGGTCGTCAGCTTGATTATTATTCTGATTTTTATTTGAATTTTCTGTAAGAACTGTTCAATGTTTTCATACTGTAGTCTTTCATTTTCCCATCTTGTACAGTATTACTGTATTAGTAATATTATTATCATGATTTTCAATTTTTAATGATAAAAAAATTTTTATTGGTTAATCTTGTTACACAACTATATTATACCAATTATACGGTATAATTATAATTATACTATACCAACTATAC